ATCTTCAAGTGCTTTTTATATTTGTGGAAGGTAACTGTGCAACTACGGATCTAATGCACACCTATAATCCCAGCACTCAAGGCTGAGGCAAGAGAATCATCTCCAGGTTCAAGCCAGCCTGCGCTATGCAGTGTGCAATAAGTTCAAGGCTATATAGGGAGACCCTGTTACAAAAAAAAGAAAAGAAAAAAAAATCAACAGCAAAAAACCTCTGCAGATCTTAAAAAATCTGAAAGCTTCAGCATTTTAACAAATTCTGAAATCTCATGAAATACATTTTTCTAAGAGCATGGAATGGACATGTCTTAAAAATCTCATTTAGGTAATAAGGAATATTGAATGCAAAACCCAAAAGTTTCAAAACTATGGAGATTTTATGTCAAATGTAGCCTTATAAAGTAATCAGGCTCTCAAAATTGAGAAGAGTGATCACAAAGGACTTCTTTAGTTAGCCAGCATGCATGTCCACCATGTCCCTGTCCCTTGCCATTATTCCAAGGGCAGAGCTGGGTAGAGAAAAGGCCTGTCATGGAGCTGAGACAGTGGTTACAGACAGGAGCCCAAAGAGGGCTTGTGGTACAAGAGGTAAGCAGAGGTGGTCCTCACACCAAGCCCCAGAGGATGGATAGACAAGAGCTGGCCTCACACCAAGAATGGCAGCTGTAGAAGTGGCAGAGAGTGAGGCCTATCTTGGAATGGTCTGCTGGGTGCCCAGGGTGCAGGGGGTACAGGGCCAGGCTGGAGAACTAGTGCCCATGGTTTTTCTGTTCATTTGATCTGTTGTACTGTGAAGGCTTCCAAGGGTTAAGTTTTTAATAAGTTAGTGAAGATTTACATTTTAAAAGGTCATTTTGAGCAGATTAGAAGAAGGTGAGATTGGTGGCAGAAGTATCAGTGAGGAAGCTGTGAGAAATCAGAGAGACAAGAGGGACTTCCTTAAAGTGTCCTACCCACTAAGTGGTTCCGAATGAATACAGATCACATGGACAGTGAGACTGAAAAGTCCCCCACTATGGGACTGGAGGCTTTGAGGAGAGGGAGCGTGCACTGTGGAGGGATGCTTCTCCCAGGAGAAGTCTGTTCCTAATACGGTAAAATGAGGTGCTCATGTGAGATGCTTCAGAGAGCTTTGCATTCTGTCACTGTAATCAAGAGCTTGAACAATTAGGACCAGCTTTGCTGATCACATTAAATTGGAATAGATTGCCATTTATGCAGGGAGTCGGGTAAAGATTCAGCAGTAATGGGGTGGCTTGGAGAGAAAGACAGAAGTGGTAGAAATTGCAGTAAGGCTTGTAGATGGCTACCCTGGAGGGGATGTAGGCTAGAAAAGGGTTAGGGTTAGGACCTTGGATTGGGGGCAGACCCCAGAAGTGTGGAGAGGTAGAGGTGACCTCCCACCTTGGGAGTAGTACGCTGAGTGAAGCCACATGAGGACTGACTGAACAGAGACCAGAGTGGCCACTGGATGATTTCAGAGTGAAAAGAAAATCTGTGCTTAGAGCCTGAGACAAGAGCACTTAACTCTGGCTTTTTCAGTAGCCAAAGCGATGCTGCTGCGGCTGTTTGAGACTTAGAACCAGCTAAGTAGTTCTGCCCTGAGAGTTGAGCACAGCTGGTCACTATTTCTATGAGAAAGCACCTTTGAAAGGGAAAGGTGTAGACACAGAGCTTCCTGGGCTGCCTCAGTGTGTGCCTGTGTGCTCCACCTGGGCAGAGGGTGGACTCTGGGGTGGGGACTTTTGGTGATCTGGCTGCAACCTGAGCTCTAGCCAGTGGTGTGTCCTCCCCCAGCTCTCCCTACACTGGGTCAGGTCTCAGTGCACATCTGAGGGGTGTAGGACAGAGAGACAGTGGTTAAAGAAATCTTCCCCCAAAGGCCTAGAGTTTAATTTTCCTCTGTGTAGCTGCTTCATTACAACATAAGCATTGATGTGCTGAGATTCCTATTTGCCAGTCCAACCATTTGAAAAGTCAGAGGGCAAGAGTTGTCACAGCTGGTTCCTTACAGGGCCTGGAACTGGTGTTTTGTTCCTCTCCTCACATCCTTTTAACCCTAGACTCATCACACACAGGATCCGTCCTGCATAGCTTAGTGTTTCCTGTCTGGGTAACTCTCAGTAGTCACTAGGTCCTGCTTCCTCATCAGCATACTAGGTTAGGGGTTTTTTTTGTGTTTGTTTTTGTTTTTTTAAGTTCCTTTAAAAGTAAGGCTAGTCTCTATAGAAACAGGTCTCCTCCTCTCTCTTCTCTTTAGTGGTGGGGACTGACCTCCCAAGTCATTCATGGTACTAGGCATTTGCTCTACAACTGAATTATACTCTCAGTCCCAGAAACAGGTTGCAGTAAATGTTGAAGTTTCTGTGTTGGCAGAAGTATATAGTTGATATTGGACATAGTGGTACACGCCTGTAATCCCAGCACTTGGGAGGCTGAGGCAGGAGAATTGCCATAAGTTTGAGACTAGCCTGGGCTACATAGTGAGATCCTCTCTCTAAAAAATAAAAAAATAAAATTTATTTGTATTTTATTCATCAAGCATCTATTCTATTTTGATGGTTAGAGTGAAAAAAATTAAAAATAGATGGTTGTTTCTCTTCATTTTTTCCCACCTGTCTTGACATAAGGAATTAGAACTTCAAACTTTGTTGTAAATTTTTCTGTGCTTTAGGTCTTAGGACCTTGGGGCTTTGTAAAGAAGACCTGTAAATCTTATAAATTATTTCTTCTTATTTTGCATAGGTAGGATTTTCTGAGTTTAGAGGGCATAAAGTGGTTTAATGGAAAAGCTACCTGCTCCTCTCCCACAGGCAGCCAGCATGACCAGCTTTTGATATATCCCTCCAGAGAAAGGAGAAAGGGATGCAACTGTCAATTTTCTGTACATGTTTTGTGGCTAATTCCATCTAATATAATGACAAACGAGTTAAGTTTTCCTGCATCTTTCAACATGTCTGCTATATCTTAAAGGCAGCTGTAACAAGTCATCTGTTTCCATTGTGGCTGCAGGGCCAGGATGACAGAGGCAACCCTAGAGGGCTCTGGTATCTGGCCCAGTGAAGTAAAAGATTCCCTTTCCTTGGGACTGCACAGAGATGGGGGTGATTTCTGTATTTACAGCAGTTATTTTTAGAGGGGACAACATTAACCCTGCAATTCTTGGTATAAAAACCTGTCAGACCCTGCTGACAAGGGTCAGAAGGTTCTAGAAGGAAAAAACAACTTGTACAAATGCTCATCCAAAGAGAAATTAAGAGCACCACGAAGTCAAGCTGTTGACTAAGAACCTGCCAGCAGTTTACCAGTGTTTCTGATAGAAAACAAGTCTCTGGCGGGACTGAATCGGCCCAGAGGATGGAGCCCTGCCTCTTGTTCTACTGGTGTCACGTGGAACTGGTGATCAAGGACTTGCCCATGAAATCTGTCCTCCATTATCTGCCCCACCCCCTTTCTGCGCAGAATCAGTACTCAGATGAACGCAGGCTGCTTGGGCTTTTAACACCTTTAAGCTGGTTATGTTGGATGATGTTGGTCCAGGCGAGTGGCTATGTGAGTGGGTGGATTCAGAATGAGGAGCTACAGAATCAAATTTTTGAGTGGGAGTTGATAGAAGAAACCATCACTGGGATGGCAATGTGGATAGCAGGCATTTCTACATCCACACGTTTCTATCAGGCCCTCTCCATAGAGATTTCAGAAGGCTTGGATAAAATAAGCCAGTCCTTAAATATAAGATCAAATAAATTCTCTAGCAGCAGTCGTGTTACAAAGTAGACAAATCCTTGACATGCTGACAGCGGTCTAAGGGGGAACATGCCAGGTGCGAGGTGAAGAATGCTGTTGTTTTGTTAACTAGTCAGGGATTGTTAAAGCAAAGGTTAAAGAATTACAGCAGTGCATCCAGGAGCAAAAGAGACGATGGAATTCATGGGAAGTAGACCAAAGCTATTCCTGGCTTCCCCAAATTGTGCCTTGGCTACTTCCCTTATTGGGCCCGCTGGCTTGCATATGTCTTAATCATGATAAGGGCCCTGTCTGTTTCACCGTTTTCAAAAATTTCTTGCAGGAATGCATGAGGGCATTTACCAACCAGACAGTCACAGAAAACTCATCATGGAGGGGTATCCACCACTGTGGCAAAAAGGGAAAAAGCCTCCACCTACTTTGGGCCCCACCAGATCCAGGTTTAGCCCCAACCTTCACCCCATTGTCAGCTTGAAGCAGCTCCAGAAGAAGACACGTTGGCCCAGTAACCATAAAACAAAAGCCTGGAATTGTTAGATTTTCCTCTCCTTAAGATGGCTCTAACTAATGATGACACAGCCCCTCCTAGTGATGTCACAAGCTCCCCCAATCCATAGCCACTACATCACTCAATTCCACCCTAGCTCCTATAAGAAGTGCTCCCTGTCTCAGCCATACTGCTTTCTTTCCTTTCTTCAGAGACAGCCTGGCAGACCCTCTCCATAATAAAGGCTTGTTATGGTCCTGGTCTGGTCCTGGTTTTTGGCTCTTTTTACCTCACATCTTTCAGTTATGAATTTTTGAGTAATATTTAATGGGAAGGGGGCAGACCAGACATTTCCTTCCCTTCCAGAGAGGATTTAAAGTGGAGTGGTAAGGAGGAGGAATTGCACTGTTTCCCTTTTTATTCTGCCCACCCCACACACACACTCCTTTTTTTTTAAGGAAAATGTCCCAAAGAGCTCCTGATGACAAGGCACTTCTTTAAACTGACAGATGCCTGGGACATGTTAATGGATTTCCTGGCAAATAAAACAGGACAGAACCTTTCTTTAGCCATGATCTTACTGGAGCTTTTTAGCCCAATTTCAATTCAGATTGATCCTGGAGAGATTTGTAAAGGAATTGGTATGACTATGTGTGAGCAGTTTGGATTATTTGTAAACTTGTGAGCACCCGCCCCACTCCCCCTCCTCAAGGTACAGAGGCGTCTAGATAAGGCCAGGCCTGCCTTGGAGGAGGGTGTGGACCGGGCAGAAACAGGAAGCTGCACTCAGGGGCCCAGCTGCCTGCCAGGAGGTTTCTACCAAGTCAGGTTCGCTAAGGGCTGCGGCAGGGACACTGCAGTGAGCCTGGTGCTGTAGCTAGCGTCCAGGCAGTGTGGAAAGAGCATGACCGCCCTGCAGCTCAAAGAGCTCTCCCACTCAGGGCTGTACCGCAGGAGGCGCGACCGGCCGGACAGTGTGAGGCTGCCTTGGGCAGGGCTCAGGTGAGTGCAGGCCAGGTAGGCAAGGTTAGGACCTCCTGGAATGGAAGGGCTTGCTTGCTGGGAATCACTGGACCGCTTTCCACTTTCCCCCTAGTCCTGGAAGTGGTGTTGGGTCTTCCCCAAACTTTAGAGTGCTGTGGCGTAACTTTGTGTCACCAGAGTAATTTTTGAACTGGAAGTAATTGGTTTTCCCATAACTTAAGGCTTTGGCGTCTTTAGAGTTTGTTTCTATGGAGAGGTTGGGGGTTAATTTATGGTATTGAGTGGGGGTTGGGAGGGTTTCTGAATCCTTTGTCATTGAAATGCATAACAAAAGAACACAGTGGGACTGTTCAAAGTAACCTAGGGAAGGACTCCCCAAATCTGGATATAAAAGGTTAGGGGTTTGGGCTTTCGAAGTCAGTTCACCCAAGACCAACACAGTTTTAGTTTTTTGTTGTAACTACTGAAAATTTCTTTTATATTGGAGATTCTGAAAATCCCCTACACCATTAAGCTGTGTATTAAAACACAGTATTACTGTCTGTGAAGGAAGGGTTTGGATTTCTGTTTCTGAGATGAGTTCCTGTTTTAGTGCTAACCAAAGTCTGCAGTAGAGACTTCCTTTGTAGTAGTGTGATTGCATTTACTGTTATACAGCAGCAGTTTGGTTTTGGACTCTTGAATATTCCAATTAAGATGGTAGGAAGGGCAGGCTTAGACCTTGTGTACTATCAGTCTTCCTAGAAATTAATTTCAGAGTTTATTTTCAGTTCTCTATTTAAACTTGACAGGAAAAAGATTAACAGGATTTTTTTGAGTCAGGGTCTCCCTATGTAGTTCACTGCCCTTGAACTTACCTTGTAGCCCAGGCCAACCTCGAACTTGTAGTGTGAGGCCTCAACCTCTGAAGTGCTGGCATTACAGGCGTGCATCATCTCACCCGGCTCTAACAAGCTTTTAAAGACTTCGCCAAATTTGTTTTGGAGGGAAACGTTTGAAAATTATCAACTAAAATAGTAGCACTAAAGAATTGTTATTAATGCTAATACCATTAGCATGTATTGCTTACTGTGTCAGGTGTCTCTTAGCTACATTTAAGGTGTTAACTTTGAGTTCATTGGATTAAAAAGATTTTAAAAGCTTCAGAATTAGAATTGTTATAAGTTTACTTGTGTGTCCACCCCCAACCTCCACCCTGTACTGGGGAGGGAACCCAAAACCTTGCACATGCTAGGAAAGGGCTTTGCCACAGCTCCACACACATTTATAGCCTGAATTGCTATAAATTTGAATGCAAAGTTGATGGACATATTGAGCTCTGTGGCAGTAACCAGCCTGTCGAAAGCAACCTCAGAAATGGACATTTATTTATAGACTACAGTCTTTGTGAGTTCAAGAATGAAATTCCCAAAAACAGTTTTAATTTTAGATTTGGAGTTCTAAGAACTTTTTTAAAAATTGAAATCTATAAAACATTCTAAACTGACCCTCTTTTACATATTTTCAGACAGTAGCCAAAACATCCATGAATAAAGTTAGCTGTATGCCCAAGGTGATAGTTATTTGTATAATTACAATACACTTTAAAATAGCTGGATGGGGGGCTGGAATTTAAATTAAAATAGGAAAACTGATTATTATTAAATGTTGTTATTCTGGTGGATTAAAGAGAAACCTTTCACTACATTTTGGTGATGTAGCTCCCCGGTACTCTTAAGTGACTACACTTTTCCCCCTCTTGTCCTCTAATGCAGAAAGAATGACCAGTGTCCTTACTTAGGGAAAGCAGTTGAGCCAGAAAAAGTAGACAATTCTTGGTTTCCCCTTGAATTTTTTAATCAAGTTAGGAAGGTAGAATCTCCCCTCCCCTCCCATTATACAAATGCTGTTTTTAGTATTAAGTCATATTTCTTAGCCAAGATCAATAAGACAGAATAAGGACTTTGAAGTTAGGTACATTCAGGTTTCAATGTCACTCAGTTGGACAAGTTAATCTTTTTTTTTTTTTTTTTTTTTTTTTGTACCGGGGCTCAAACTTGGGACCTTGTGCTTGTGAGACAGGCGGCAGCACCACTGAGCTAAATCTCCAGCCCATAGATGGCAGAATTTTTAACACTTACTCATTTCTTTGAGGAGTCAGTTGCACATGTTCCCTCAGTTCAAATTTATCTTTTTTTTTTTTTTTTCTTTTTTTGGTACCGGGGATCAAACTTGGGTCCTTGAGCATGCAATGCAGGCAGCGGAACCACTCAGCTAAATCCCCAGCCCATGGACAAGTTAATCTTTTTTGAGCGTTGGTTTGTTCATCTTTAAAATAAGGATAAAGGGCCGGGGACTTACTTAGCTTAGTGGTTCCACCACCTACCTTGCAAGTGCAAGGACCCCGGTACCAAAAAAATAAAATAAGGATAAAAATAACTACCATTATTGAGCATCGTTTACAAAAGGCCTCACCACCCAATCAATGAGGCAGGTGGCATTTTTATCCTGTGAATAGTGCCCAGGGTTAATACTGCCTTTGGATTAATGCAGCATTCAGCTAACTTTTCTTGAGTTCCTACCATATGTGAATTAAAGCAACAGTGATGAAAAGACACAGTGTCTCTCTGTGTGGAGTACCTAGGTTTTGGCACTTTGATTATGACCAACAGATGTTTTCTAAATGAGCAGCATTTGACTTTGAATGGATAAACCGTCAGACATTTTTATGCTGTCTCCAGTGTTTCGCAGTACCATTCCATATATACGTCCCAGTCCTTTTAACCTCTTTCTTACTTATGTGTCTATTTTCTTGGCATGTATGTAAACTCTTAACAGAAAAATCATCAGATGGGCTGGGGATTTAGCTTAGTGGTACTGAGCCTGCCTTGCAAGTGTAAGGTCCTGAGTTCAATCCTTGGTACTGCAGAGACAGGCAAGGGTCTGTATCTGCTGCCAAAAAATATTTTACCTAAAGTTTAGGTGAAAAGCTGTGCCTGAAACATAAAGTACATGTGTTTTAATGAGCGCTGTTAATACACATGAAAAGTTTTGACCGTGAACTTGAAATCATTCAAAGCAGAAGCATGCAGAAGACAGCATGACAGACACTGGGTTTTATAAGTGTTTGTTTTAAAGAACTGAACATGACCTGACAGTTACTTTATGTGAGTACTGAGTAATAGAGCCACCCCCTGCTCTGTATTTGAGGGTCAGTTAGAGTTCTCGTGAACTCAGAATTAATGCTGAGCCCTATTCCTCTGCTGAGCATTGGTGCCACAATAACCGTTACAGTGTACCCATCACTCCTTAGCTGTTCATTTTCTCTTAAGGGTCTTTTTTTTTTTTTTTAATTACGAACACCTGGAGTAATGTCTCTAAAATTCTTGAAGTCACAATACAAGGGATCGGCAAATAACTGATAGGGACAACTCAAAATTCAAGTCTTTACTATCTAAATCTGAAACATATTTTACAGTGTAGGGGTTGGTGAACATGATCGTTAACCTGACTATGGCCCATTTACTATTTTTATATGGTCTACAAGCTTCAGATATATCTTACATTTTTCAAATGGTTGAAAAAAATAGTAGAAAGACTATTTCTTAACATGTGAACATTACATGAAATTCAGCTGCCAGTATCCATAAAGTTTTATTGGAACACTGCCATGCTTATTTTTATGTGTCATGTGTGGTGGCTTTGTGTGAACCTGGCCAAGTTGAGTTGTGACAGATACTGGTAAGGGCCATGGAGACAAGGTTTTTCCTGCCTGGCCCTAGAGCTTCGGCTGACCCTGGGCTGTGCTGTAATATTCAGCCCTGATGTGTCTCTCTGGTACTGCTATGGTTATGTCTCTGCTTGCCCACTACCCATCCCCAGTTAGATTTTTCATGGCCAGGTAAAACCAGAGCTGGGAACCAAACCATGTCATGTAAAACAGGTGTCTCTAACAATGTGGCGATATGGTAACACAGTGAAGTCAAGAGAAGGCAGCTGTGAGTATGTCACTCCTTAGAACTTCATGCTTTCTTCTGTAGTTCCAACCTTGACGTGCCCTTCTCCCACTTTCTAGACCATTCTGGGTAAGAGGAATGGAAGTACAAAGAAAAAAGAGCCTTTGCTTTCTGGTTATCTGAGGTCTTGTCTTTCTAGATGCAGCATATAGAATCCTTTCCTAATAGTGAGAATGTCCTTGCCTTGGTTTAAGTGAAAACTCAGACAGATTCTACCCTCCTGAGTAATATATAAGACCACTTACTGAGCCATTTGTATGGAGGACAGACATGTGAGCCCTTTGTAGGGAGGGAGGACGTGTGTGTGTGTGTGTGTGTGTGTGTGTGTGTGTGTGTCTTGTAGGATCTTATATGGAGGAGGAAGAGCTAAGTGTCTATAAGGTGGTGGTTATCATATCATTCTCTCAGCCAGTACCCCTCATTGGCACCAGTAACTCAGCACTCACTCAGAGTTCAGCTGAGGTTAGGGTGGGTCAACCTAGGAAGGGAGTTTCCTTTCATACCTGTTTTACAGTATGCTGATGGTTTTTTGGCCTATCTTTTAGCTGAAAAGTTATATTCATAGTTTAGTTTAAGAAATACCTAAGCCAGCCGGGCGTGGTGGTGCACACCTGTAATCTCAGCACTCAGGAGGCTGAGGCAGAAGGATCGCTGTGAGTTCAAGACCAGCCTCGGCTACAGAGTGAGTTGAGGCCAGCCTGAGTTATAGAGGGAGACTTTGCCTCAAAAAACAAAGCAAACAAAAAATATATCATTTATTAGATAATTGGGAGGATAAAATTGGACATTATCATTGTTGTCTGTTCTTACTATTTAATGATGACACATTTTCTTTTTGTTGTTTTGTTTTCCCTTTGTTTGTTTGTTTGTTTATTTGTTTTGGTACCGGGGATAGAACTCGGGACCTTGCACTTGGCGAGGCAGGCAGTGGAACCACTGAGCTGAATCCCCAGCCCCACATTTTCTGTTTTTAACAATGATCAAACACATCACCACAGTTCATAAGAAATAAACTAGTGCTTT